ACGGGACGTCGCTGTGACCAGCCTCTGCAGAACTATTTTGTTGGAGCCCTCGATTCCATTGTTTACGAGGCCGAGTCGAGTCAATGTAATTCACAAATCGACGATAACGCCATTCAAAGTCAACTGTGTCATGTGGTGATCAGAGAAAACTATCCAGACGGCAGAAAAGAAACTTGGACAGGCCCAGGATTTATGAAAATTCCTGAGAGTAGCACATTAGTTTTTGTCATAAATAACTTAAAGACCAGTATGAATTACAATGTACTCATACGATATGAACCTCAAACTCATTCCAGTTGGGAAGAAGCCACTATACTAGTGAAGAGACCCTCGCCGATAGACGCGGACTCTCCTTGCGCCAACGTCCGACCTGAAGATGATACTATAGTCACTAAACTTCCAGTAGGACAACACAGTGTGTTGGTGCGGCCTGCAGTGTGCCTCGAGAAAGATAAGGAAACAGAAATAAGAATCTATCTGGGAAAACAAGATGGACGCTCTTCAAACAGTAGAGCGACAGTATTGATCGATTCTATCGTATTAATACCTTCATTTGATGATTTACCATTCTTGAAGAATGGAAGTTCAGGCAGAGAAGAATTCGATCGATATAATTGTGGAGATTCCTATTATTACGATCTAAATAGGGAAAACATACCAGAGGTTTGCAAGAAATATCATTCGAACATCGGATTTTATATAAGAAATGGGTCAGAACCGTGTCAGTGTGACCCTTCAGGCTCTAAGAGTCATCAGTGTAATCCGTTCACCGGTAACTGTCAGTGTGTAGAAAATATAGTCGGTGTGAGATGCGACCGCTGCGCACCCGGTACATATGGATTCAGCAAATTTGGTTGTAAACGATGTGACTGCAACAGCATAGGCTCTCTTGATAATTTCTGTGATGCAGCCAGCGGTCAATGTAAATGCAGAGCCAATACATACGGCAGAGCTTGTGATCTGTGCCAGCCTGGATATTTCAATTTCCCTAACTGCCAACAATGTGACTGCAATGGCCACGCCGTTGAATGTGACGATAAAACCGGGGCTTGTAAGGAGTGTCAGGAAAATACTGAAGGCCACCGCTGCGAAAGATGTATTGAAGGCTATTACGGTGATCCCAGGCTAGGCATTGACATCCCTTGCAGGTTGTGTCCTTGCCCAGGTGTTAAAGGTGATCCCAACAAGAGTAGTCATGCTGATCGTTGTGAGTTAGACCCCGAAACCAAGGATGTTGTCTGCGACTGTAAGGAGGGGTATGCTGGTCTGCTTTGTGATGTGTGCGCCGACAACTACTACGGTGACCCGATGAAGGGGACCTGTGAAAAGTGTGAATGTCACGACAACACCGATATCACTAAACCCGGCAACTGCGATCCTTATACAGGGAAATGCCTGAAGTGTTTACATAACACCGCTGGAGAACATTGCGAAGTTTGCGAAGAAGGCTACTATGGAAATGCTCTAGAGAAGGCCTGTTATAAATGTAATTGCTCTGTACTGGGAACCAACTTTACTCAGAGCAACTGTGATGGAATAACAGGACAATGTCCTTGCTTCAATAATGTCATGGGCATAAACTGTGATCAATGTACTGAGAATCATTGGAGGATAGCTTTGGGTACGGGCTGTGATCCTTGCGAGTGTGACCCGGTGGGTTCTATATCACCTCAGTGCAACCCATATATAGGTAAATGCGACTGTAAGCCTGGCCACGGTGGGAGACAATGCGACCAATGTCAAGAGAACCATTGGGGTGACCCTAACATTGAATGTTATGAATGTGACTGTGATATATACGGATCTGTTTCACAACAGTGTTCACGCGAAAATGGATCCTGTATTTGTAAGCCAGGAATAGGAGGCTATAAGTGTGATATGTGTGCCAGAGGTTATCTTGGTGAGGCACCAGAATGTAACGCCTGTGGAGACTGTTTTGATAATTGGGACAGAATAATAGGAGATTTAAAGGTTCAAACTGAATACGCCATCGGTAATGCTAGTAAGATCAAGGTCGTCGGTGCTACGGGAGCTTATACGAGAGACTTCGAAGAAATGACAAAGAAACTCTCTCAGGTTGAAGCCACATTAGAAAGTGCGAAACAAGGCAAGAGTACAGTCAAAGAACTTTTATCTAACGTCACTAATTTGCAGAATAAATTAAGTGAAGCTGAGAAAAAAGTCAAGGATAGTAATGATAATCTGAACGCTATTACATCAAAAATAAATCTGGGTAATGTGACATTGGATGGCTTAAGAGCTCGAATTGACACATTAAAATCTAAGACGTTTGAATTAGGTAACAATGCAACCAAACTACAAGAAGCCAATTTAGAGGGTGCCTTAAATTTGACTCGAGAAGCGAAAGAGAGAGCGGTGAAGGCTGCAGAAGAAGCCGAAGGTGTGCAGTCTATTATAGCTAATACGGACAGACAAATAAAGAACACGGATAGATTAATAGAAATGCAATATAGTAGCTTTAATAACACGCAGAATGAAAATGATAAAGAATTAGAAAAATTACGGCAGCAATTAACTGAACTAGAAATGCAGTTACCAAAAATAAATGAAAAGATGTGTGGGCAGGACAGTGACAGTTGTGATATTTGTGGGGGAGCGGGTTGTGGCAAATGTGGAGGAATATCGTGTGATCAGGGAGCCATCACCAAAGCAGAACAAGCATTAGACTTCGCGAATAAAACTGAACACAGAATAAAGGAGCACGAATTGACTGCTGAAGATTTATTAAGGTCCGTCTCACAAGTGAAACAAGATACCGTTGCTGTTCGATCGAGAGCCAGAGATTTATTCAATAGAGCGATCGATTTCAAAGCATCGGCTGAGAGGGCGACCAATGAGAGCCAAGAGGTAACATCCGAGTTAAAAGAATTCTTATCGAAAACATACAATACACCGGAAGAAGTTAGACAGCTGGCTACCGAGATATTAAACCTCTCTATTAGCATAGAACCTAAAGAAATAACTGAACTGTCGCAACGAATTAACTCTACTGTTTCACAGTTAACTAATATTGAAAACATAATAACAGAAACAAAACCTGACCTCGACAGAGTCAAAGCCCTCAAGCAAAATGCTACCAACGTCAACCAAGCAGCGAACTTAACTCTTGAGATGGCAAATAAAGTTCTAGAGGCTTTGGATGAGGCGCAAGCAGCTCAGGACGCCGCAGAAAACGCTATAGACAAAGCAAATAGAGACATAGAAGCTGCTAAAGAAGATTTACTGCCGATAGCATTAGAGACTGAACAGGCACAGAAAAAGGCCAACGAAACGATGGATGAGGTGGAGGGTCTTCGTTCGAGGCTGTCAGACTTGCAGAAAAATATTCTAAAAATAGAAAGTGACGCAGAACAAGTGAAACAAGAGGCTAATGACGTCGTCAACAAAGCAGAAGGAGCGGAACAAAAAGCGAGACAGTTGAGGCAGGACTTCAAGCAGACGAACACATCCCTCACCGAGAGAGCCAACCAGACCTCCAGTTCTAGAGAACGAGCTCAGCTGCTGCTGAACCGAGCCACGAAACTCGCGAGCGACACGCAGAGTCAGTTGAAGCTGCTCGCGAACATGGAGGAACTGTACAACGATCACAACGAACAGCTCAACGACCTGGAGAAGGAAATCGGCGAACTCAACACCAAGATGAACTATTACCTGTCAGAAATAACCAAGCGATCGGACTACTACAGGTCCTGCACCACCTAACACGCCTTCATACTCCAGTCAAGCTTTTTACTAAAACAAATTGTATTTCAATACATTAATATTTAGGAATGTCATAAATATGTTACTTAAAATGCATTTATTTTAATTATGTACAAATTGTCTTATGTAATAGTTATGTATCAATTTATTTTACAGTCGTTATATCTGTGTAGGCACACTCTATTCATTGTATATAGTCGTCTTTGTACTCGCCGGTAGCTCGCGGAGGCTGTAAGATGTGATGTCTCATGTTGACGCTGCATTTATTGTGTGTCATGTCTATTACTGTAACATTACTTGTATGTGTTCTAGTTAGTTTATAGTGTGAGACATTCAGAGGAACTCATCCCAAAGAATATTCATTGAATATGTAGTTATGTAAATAGTTAAGTTAGCTAAGGTAGGATAAATGACATGGAACAAATATTGTTAAATATATTTCAGAAGTTTTATAATCAAGAAATTCTTCTTCTGTGCCTTTGTAATAAAAATGTTGTAACAAAAGTTTGTTTTTATTCACTTTTTAAACTGTGGACAAAGTTACATTACAATATTAAACCTTAATAAACACACAAACTCAACCACTCCGATATCATTCCGTTACGAGAAATATAATTGTGAACTAAAAAAAACACAATCATTATCTGTTAACCTCATTACAATACTGTATTGGTTATACATACATTTAAAGAAACCAGTTCATTAAGTTTATATATTTTTATATGCAGTACTGGTATTTCAATCAAGATAAATATACTTAATATCTATTGGGACAGTGATCAATTGCAAGTGTTCGCGGTAATATGATGCTTAGATAGGAAAAAGTTGTCTGTAACGCAAAATCTATAATAACAATATTTATCGTAATATTTGTTTGATAAATGTTTTATTTTTTCTATTTTTTTTTACGTGTATGACATGAGTTTGTCCACTGACGTTACTCTCTTCAATTACTTTTTGATCCAATGTCTGTTTTCTAAAATCCTCTCCCCCTTAACAAAGTTCGCTCCATTAACGTAACTCTGACAGTTCCTGGTTTTTATTCCTATTTATTTACGAACAACAAATATTAAATATGTTTAATATATGTAATGTATTCTTTATTAACCATTGAAGAGACTGAGTTCTTATTCTGTCATTATCGTTCTACAGGAAACCTCTATAAGCTGAAATATCTGCTTTAATTAAAAAGTTTGTTCAGATCTGTTGTAAGAGAGAAAATGAGGACGTTAAGTATGTACATAGATAAATGTTGAGACTTGATAGACTTAGATCGAATGTGGAGGTAATCAAATAATGAATGAATTAAAAAGATTTTTCTTGTATAATTTTAGTCACAAGTAATATTTAAATACGATGTACACGTTGTTTACATCACAACATAAATTAGGACTTCTATATGAAGATAGCGACATGATCTCTAAGTGACCAGCGGGCGGAAACACGAACCACTATATCTGTGTTACGTGTGGTCGTTATTTGAAACTTTTGTTTTATTTTCCTGAGACTCGTTAAGTTATGAAAAACTTTATAAATTAATAATAATTAAAGTATGAAACTTGTATTACTTCCTAAAGGTAGTAACGACGTGTGAATATTTAAAACAAAAGCCTTTGGTATAAGGATTATAATAATATAAGTCTGCTATAAAGTATGAAAAATAAATATATTGAGATATTAAAATGAAACTATATATGTATATCGGATAACTAGGCGTATTGTATTCATTTTTAATAAGTACTCATTTTGTCTGCCCGTGATCATAGTTGCTGCTAAGTAACCGAAACGTCGGGAGTATGTAATGAATATTCGCGAGTCTCTAGATCTTATTATATTCAGATATATATATTTTAAATCATTTTAAAGTGTAAGTAGTTGGTGTCTTAAATTATATCATATTGAATTTTCCAGATGGTTGTACCTGGAACCCATTTTGTATAATGATGACGGGGACCTCGGCGTCAAGTTTAGAAAAGTAGACCTTCTGTTTAAGCAAGTAGCTCGAATCATTGAGGCTGATCCTCGAGTCTCGGCGCTCGTGCACTCCACCAGGCTGAAGCCGATGCTCGATGCTATAACCGACCAACTGAACGCTTGCCAGTCTGCTTTGAACCAGTACATGGAAGTGAGCGTCATCACACTTTAGGAACACGTCTTTACAAACTTTTTTGATTCTTATTTGTTATAATTTCTTGCCAGGAGAAGCGGTCTGTGTTTCCAAGACTATACTTCCTGAGCGATGATGACCTGCTGGAACTACTGGGTCAGGCTCGCGCGGGGGCTCAGGGTCGGGAGGTGGTGATGCAGACGCATCTCAAGAAGTTGTTCCCCGGGATCACTGGAGTGAGGCTCGGCCCCGGCGGGGTGAGCCTCACAACACTGTGTAGTCAGTACGGAGAAATGTTCACGTTGGATCAGCCGGTCGACATTGATTGTTCAGTTGAGGTATTTATTGTGGGAATACATCAAATCCACTACTTCATCATCAAAATAGAGCATGGTTTACATTTTAATGTGTTTTTCAAGGTATGGCTGAACCGTTTGGAACAAGAAATACGTTCGTCACTCAAAAGTTTGACCTTGAAGTGTCTGGCCAAACACGGATCACCCCATCAGGACCCATTCTCTCTGCCGACACAGATATTATGCTTGTTACAAAACATTCGTTTCACGGAACAAGCTGAGAGCGCCATCCTGACCAAGGACCTAAGAAAGCTGAAGGACAATATAGAGAAAGAGCATATATATTATGCTGAAGCTGAAGTAGACAATGAAAATGAAAAATGTAAAAGGCAGGCTCTGATACTGCAGTGCTCCTATTACGCTTCCGTCATTGATTCTTTGATTGAGCAAAATGTCGTCGCAACCAGTGACTGGCTGTGGCAGAAACAACTCAGGTCATTACAGTCATCACCATTGACAATCCTAATATCGAAATATATAATATCATTATATCTTTAAACCTATAAATATCATTACATTCATTTGATTTCAGATTCTATTTAGTAAACAAAGAGGAAGTTGTAGCTAAGATGGGGTTGGCTCAAATCTCTTATTCGTACGAGTACCTGGGCGTCGTTACCGGACAGTTTGTACGGACAGAATCCACAGACGACAGCTTTCTTATTCTTACACAGGTATTTATAGTCCGTTGGACTTAAGCTGAGCTTTGCATTTGTGTGAGCAAAAGTAAAAGTATAGTTACACAAAAAACTTTTAGAATTGAATTTTATTATATTTTAAATAAATATATAACATAACTGCTATATAATAGATCTATTAAAAATAAAATAGGTAAATCTTGTAAAAGGTGAAATGGAAATATAAAAAAAAATTATTAAGTAATAACGTTTTGAAAAAACAAAACAAATTTTTCTTCACTTGACATTGCGTGTTCAACATTTAACGTGGCTATCAATACAAAGGGTGAAGTGCAGAAGGTGCGGGGCGGAATTAAAGCAGAATAAACCGGTTCCAAACTATAAAAGAACATGGCATTCAAAAATTTGACATCACACCTACACTATCCGTGTACACTCACACAAATGCAAAGCTCAGCTTAAATCAAATGCACTATACTTATATATTATTTAGTCTGATCGCAAAGTTCAGAGAACATTTTCATTAATATAAGTTCTGAATGATTTCCAAAGTAATAAGCGTCAACATCATTGAAAGAACTAGAAGTTTAATCAAGTCGTGCTACTTCTTTGGGTAGACCGTCAGATTTGTGTTTTAACAATTAACTCATGATTTCTTATATTAAACATTTATTCGCAGGCGTTACACCTTGGCTTCGTGGGGAACCCGTTCGGACCGGCCGGGACGGGGAAAACAGAATCAGTGAAGGCTTTGGGAAGTCTGGTCGGACGACTGGTGCTCGTCTTCAATTGTGATGAAGTGGGTGATCGTAATAAAAGAAAAAATACATTAACGATATAGTGACAGAAAAATAATTTTCACTTGTTTGTGATTGTTTAAGTTATTTTTATTTATTGTTTTAAACTTTCCGCGATCAGATTTCACTCCAAGCTTTAGTCTAGGAATTATTATGTCTACGTATTTACATCGTGTCCCACTCTCAGGCCATGGACGCGTGTTGTCTGGCTCGTCTGCTGAGCGGCGTGGCTCGTTGTGGAGCGTGGGGCTGCTTCGATGAGTTTAACAGGTTGGAGCGCCCGGCCCTGGCCGCCGCCGCGCACCAACTCACCGCGCTGCTGGCCGCCCTGACAGCACGGGACGAACACGTCGTGCTACAAGGGAAGAAGGTATGTACACTGGCTAGCTACTTGACATATCACAAAGGACTACGCGCCAATGATCATTTGACGTCCTCGTTTATTATAAAAATACTAGAAGACCCGGCGAACTTCGTATCGCCCTATAATCAAGAAATATCTGTTACGTTTTTTTATTTATATTCTTGGAGTTTACCTATTAAAGCCATAAATCTTCGTGTTCTGAAGTGCCACAGAATGATTGACATATTAGTTAGTTGTCAAATCTAATGTCAAAAAAAAACGTTTGTATCAACAACTACTAATAAATTGAAAAAACATTGTCCAGCGGACGAAATTGTGAATCTAAACAATTTCCAGATTCCCTTGACACACACAAAAAATTTCATCAACATCGGTCCAGTCGTTTGAGAGAAGTTCAGTGACATACACACTCACAGAAGAATTTGAATATAAAGATATTTCATCAGAGTGTATGTTGTAAGGTGCCGCTATCTCAGTGGTGTGGTGTGGCGGTGACCTTGAACCCGGCGGGTCGTGGGTACGGTGGTCGTCGGGAGCTCCCCGCTGCACTCCAGGCCGCCCTTCGTCCTTTGGCCCTTCGTCCTCCGCCGTCGTCGCTCCTAGCGTCTCGCCTGCTGGCCGCACACGCGCCCTGCCGAGACACCGACCACTATCACCGCCTGGGAGAAGACTTGGATTGCGTCTTTCAACTGGCCAGGTATTTATCGAGAATTATATGTAGCTTTTCTTTCAACATTCATGTCATGTATGTTGTATGTCCCAGCACATTGCTGAGCAGTCAACGTCACTATGACTGGGGCCTGCGCGCTCTGAAGGCGGCGGTCAGCAGCTGCGGGGCGGCGCTGGCGGCCGGCGGGGCGGAGGGTCAACTGACCCGGCGGAGGGCCGTGTTGAGGAGGGTGCTGCGACTCAATAACCTATCCAAGCTGACCCCCGACGACGCTGAGAGGTGAGATGCACTAATATTAAAGTAATTTAAGATATTAAAAGTGTTAAATAAAAATAGGTAAAAAAAAAAATTGACGTGCCCCACGCTTTTATTTTAGTCTAGTCTGTGCATATGTTTATAATTCCCACGACTGTATCTATTTTATTATTTTTTGGTTTTTAGTACATTTATCTTAAAAATTGCAATGTATATGTTTCACGTAAAACCTTAAAAACTTAAAAAGCTTTTTTACCTACTTTTATTTTGTAGTTTTTAGTTTTTATTTCGCATTCTGTTTAATTCATTTGTGCTTCATTATTGCAAGGTTTCTTGCCCGTTAGTTTATTGCAGTCCAACTCCTCTAAAAAATTGTCATCTGCCATTTGGTAGCGGCGGCCATCTTAGATTTCAATTTAGCATAGTAAATTGTATTCTACTTGTTGAGACCTTTCATTTGATACCCATATTGATGGGATTGGTAAGTTATCCGCCATTTTGCAGAGGCCGCCATCTTGGATTTTAATTTTATATAGTACATTGTATTCTATTGGTTGAGCACTTTCATTTGATACCCATATTGATGAGATTGATAAAACCTACATTATCCGCCATTTTGTAGCGGCCGCCATCTTGGATTCAAATTTTTTATAGTATATTTTATTCTGCTTGTTGAGCCATTTCAATTGATACCCATATTGATGAGATTGATAAAATCTACATTATCCGCCATTTTGTAGCGGCCGCCATCTTGGATTTCATTTTTTTATAATATATTGTATTTTGCTTGTTAAGCCCTTTCATTTGATACCCATATTGATGGGATTGGTAAAACATAAATTATCCGCCATTTTGTAGCGGCGGCCATCTTAAATTTATAATGATAATGAATTAACATAATTGAATTGTCACCAAATCCCAAATGTATACAAAATTTCAAATTAATCGGTTGACAGGAAGAGGTTGAAATTTGAATTTCTAAATTTGAGCCAAGAAAGAATAAAATATAATATAACTGTTTGATAAAATAAAACCGTTTGAAAACTGCGTCCCGTCCAGTGTTATTGCTATACCGAGTGGTAGTACCGTAGTGCTGCGTATATTTGTAACATAAATTACATGACGTACATAAATATATTTTGTTTACAGATTTGAAAATATTTTATCCATGGTATTCGCGGAGGTCCCGGAGGAGCAGGTCGCTACAGACCCCGTCCGGTCCGCCCTCGAGGAGGCTGTTCACCGCCTGGGTCTGGTCACCAACGACATCCAGGTCCGCATGTTGTCACTTTGTTTCGGTATTGCTTCACAACGAGAATTAGCAAATAACTCATGACTTCAACCCTCACCGAATTACAGATCCAAAAATGCGTGGAACTGTATGAGCAGCTGCAGCAGAGGATGGGAGTCGTCATCGTGGGTCCGCCGGGCTCCGGGAAGACTACCATACGACGACTGCTGAAGACGGTACTTTGACATATAAAATTATTTTGGAAAATCTATTCACAGTATTATTGAAACAGCTCAAAACGATTTAAATATCCTAAACGAATGGTTACAGTACAATTTACTGACATTAAACGTCTCCAAAACCTCATATATGATTTTTTCGGCCAAAAATAAATCTATTCCTTCCCATAATGAATTAATACTTAACAATCAAACAATCAAATAATGAAAAATACTTAGGATTAATTTTAGATAAAAATTTTACTTGGAAACCTCACATAGATTCAATACATTCCAAAATAACTTCGCTTACTGGAGCTTTACGTAAATCTGCACGTTGTATTCCTCCACGAGTACAAAACATTATTTACAACACTTTAGTAAAACCAGTATTAGAATACCTTATAGAAATATGGGGCAACGCGGCTAAAACACATATAAAAATTTTGCAGATCTCTCAAAATAAACTTATCAAGGTCTTATTTCATATGGATATATTCCTACTTTAGATTTATATAAAACAACCAAAATTTTATCTATTAAACAAATGTATAAATATAAATTATGTATACTTATTCGAAAAATATTAACAAACCTCAAAAACTCATTCTCAAATTACATTTAAGACCAAAACCCATTCTTACCACACAAGGAACAGATATAATCTAGAAACACCTAAAACTCGAACCAAGTACGGCATTAAAACTATTTCATTTGAAGGAGCACAGCTGTATAACTCTTTGCCTCTAAGTCTTTAATCTCTAAATATATTTAAAAAACGATTAAGAACCCATATATAAGATGATTTCACTGATCTTGTTTAATATCACTACTGTTTATTATTTGTAATCTTAATTGTAGTTATAATTTTTAAAATTTCCTTTGTAAGCGAACTTTGTTCTTTTTGGAAATAAACTTGTTCTTTAAACCTAAAGTGTGACCCTCTCGGTCGCAGGCGCTGGTCAGTCGAGGTCGCAGCATCGTAGAGTACGTGATCCGTCCTAAAGCCTTGGAGCGCGGCTGGCTGCTGGGGGCAGCGGCGGGGAGCAGCGCCACCACCGGCGTGCTGCACACTGTAGCGTTACAAGCCACCGCGCAGGATGATGGTAAACTTATACTATACAAAAAGTCTTTAAAATTTACGAAAAAAGGATTCAGTTTGTAGTTTTCGCGTCATAACTATTATTTTGCTCTAAAAAATAAACTTACAGTTTCGATAGTCGGTAGGTCAAATAACCTACAAAATGATTCAAGCAACCAATTCGTCTATAAAACGATTTATTGTATGTAGTAAATGTATAACTTTTATGACCTGCAATATCATCAGTGCAAAACAAACATTAACTAATTGGCTTTATACTTTAGACTATCATGCTACTGAAGAATTGTTAACTGTACAAACGTAAGAAATATTAATACCTATTCATTTAATTAATAAAAAAAATAATAATAAGTAAATAGGTATAAAAATAAAATTATATAATACACACACACACACACACTCACACACACACACACACACACACACACACACACACACACACATATGTAAAATGTTTTTCCATTTCCATCTGTAATCTTAAAAATAAGTTAAATATTTGTTAGTTTATAGTTGTATGTTTCGATATATGTATATCCAGGAGGAGGAGCGGGTATTTTGAGATACAGGTTAAACCTACTTCAAAATTCCTGTTGCTACCTATTGCTATACAAACGGATTTAAACAATAAAATTTTTTGTTTTTTTATTTTAAATGTAAGCTTTCCTCCGAGTCGATGATGCCATGTTCCAGAGACCTGGTCGTGGGTGGTGTGTGACGGAGACATCGACCCGGACTGGGTGGAGGGACTCAACTCGGTGCTCGATGACAACCGGCTGCTGTGTCTACCGACCGGAGAGCGGGTCTGTCTGCGGAGAGGAGTCAGCTTCCTGTTCGAAACAGACGCGCTCTCAGCCGCCTCGCCCGCCACACTTACGAGACTCGCGCCCATACTATTGAGGTTTACATGAACAAACTCAACTCGTTCTAATTGCACGATCAGGATACAAAAATTATTTTACTTGTATCCGCTTATAGGCCAGTGCAGAAGCTTTTAAAAAAGGAGGGGTATATTATAAACATTAAAGAAACATAATTTACGGATGATCTGAGGTCAGGAAGGGTATGGGGGTGGGTATTTAAGCGTAAAAAATGGGTTTTCCCGATTTCCGGCAATACTAAAAGTCCTACGGAATAATGTCATATCGCAAAGTTGTAGATAATAAAAAGATCTAAAACTTTTGTACTAATATTTTTATCACATGACCTCAAAATTTATGTGAAAAATTCAAAAAACCTAGTTTTTGGTTTTTTATTTTTATCTCTTTCAAAAATCAATTTTTTGTCACGAAATTTGGTGAAAAATTTCCTTTTGATGTTACAAATGCACTGTAATTTATTTGATTAGAAATATTTATTTTTTCAGCTTATTTTGAATAAATACCGAAAAATCTGTCTCATTTTCAATGGAAAAATCACCCGTCAAAGTATCAGTGTTTTTCAAAAATTTGGTATGTTTTCTATTTGTTGAAATCTCTATTTTCCGATGGTGAGGAAAAAAATATATGTTTCTTACTAACAGTACCATTTTTGGATAAAATAATCATGTCTATTTTAATGAAATGACACTCGACATCGTTTTGAAAATGGTCTTTCTAATTTATTTTTAATAATTGTGTATTCTGGAAGTTCTCCAGATAGTCCCTCTTTTAGGTGATTTACAGAAAATTGACATTAAACTGCTAAAACTATTAAAAATAAATTGAAAGAGATTTTTCCAAACGATATCGAGTGTCATTTCATTAAATGGGACATGATTATTTTATCCCAAAATGGTACTGCAAATAAGAAACTTATATTTTTTCCTTCATCATTGGAAAATAGAGATTTCAACAAACAGAAAACTCACCAAGTTTTTGAAAAACACTGATATTGTTACGGGTGATTTTTCGATATGTATTCAAAATAAGCAGACAAAATAAATATTTCTAATCAAATAAATTACAGTGCATTTGTAACATCAAAAAAAAAAATTTCACCAAATTTCGTGACAAAATATTGTTTTTTCACATAAATTTTGAGGTTATGTGAAAAAAATGTTAGTATAAAAGTTTTAGATCTTTTTATTACCTATAACATTATTCCGTAGGACTTTTAGTTTTGCCGGAAATCGAGAAAACCAATTTTTTACGCTTAAATACCAACCCCCATACTCTTCCCGACCTCAGATCACCCGTAAATTATTTTCCTTTAATTTTTATAATATTATCTTCCTTTGTAATGAGTTTTTTTTTTCTACTTTAATTTAATTATGTTTTAAAAGCTATCGGCACTGGTCTATTATTATTTTGGAGATCTTTGAATATATTGTCCCATTCTTGTCATCAGTGAAGACAACGACTGCAGCCGCGAAGTATTGGAAAGATGGAGTCGAAGAACGGAATTAGAAAATGAAACGATGAAACAGACGCTGACGATGATGAGAGATGTGACGGAGAAGGTTCACGCGTGGATGAAGAGGAACAGCACCGAGCTCTTTATGAAGCACTGCGGGGTCTCCACTGTGAGAAATAATCTTTATATATATAATTCTTCTGTGAGTGTGTATGTCACTGAACTTCTCTCAAACCACTGGACCGATTTTGATGAATTTTTTTGTGTGTATTCAAGGGGATCTGGGAATGGTTTAGATTCACAATTTTGTCCGCTGGACAATGTTTTTCTAATTAATTTTTAATTTATTAGTAGTTGTTGATACAAACGGTTATTTTTTTACATTAGATTTGACAACCAACTAATATGTCAATCATACTGTCGTACTTTCAAACACGGAGATTTATGGCTTATAGGTAAACTCCAAAATAATAAATAAAAAATTATTTATTTATCGATTGAGGCAGTACGAAGTCTGCCGGGTCAACTAGTATATGTATAAGTGTAGTATTATTATAGTATGAGTTTCGAGTACTATAGTGGTTGTTTGTATCTATTCAAGGTGACGCAGATAATATCACAGTTCGAACAGCTCGTGGTGGAGACCAGCTCGGATGTGAGAGTCCTCGGCGTGGAGGAGCTGGTGCACATCGCCGTCCTTAGAGGAGCTACCAGTATCATCAAACAGAGAGCCATCGAGGACTTCTACAGGGAGGCGAGTGATGTTCTACATCATAAGAATATCATTTGACATCAGAATATCATTTGACATCAGAATATTCTTCTCCAGATGCAGCTGTCTCCGGCGCCGCCGCCAGCAAGTCACAGTCTCCACTCACTGCAGGGTCCCCGCCTGCGGAGCGCCAGCCTCATACTTCAAGCCTCGCTGCTTCATTCGCACGCCTTATTACTGGGTCCCGTGGCCAGTGGGAAGAAGTACGTCATCATCGGATCATACGCGACACTGAAACAGATATTTGACATTAAACATATCTATGTATATATTTTTCAGTGTTCTAGCGGAGTATGTCATGAGAGAGACTTTTTCAACGGTCGTGGTAATAGACTGCACGCCCGTCCTCGAGCCATCCGACATTATAGAGGAATTGAAACGAGTGAGACTTAGTAAAACATGTACTTCAGCCGTCAGCTAAATATTTTTATACATATATATAATTCTTCGGTGAGTGTGTATGTCACTGAACTTCTCTCAAACGACTGGACCGATTTTGATGAAATTTTTTGTGTGTGTTCAAGGGGATCTGGGAATGGTTTAGATACACAATTTTTAATTTATTAGTAGTTGTTGATACAAACTTTTTTTTTTGACATTAGATTTGATAACTAACTAATATGTCAATCACAGGTAAACTCCAAAAATATAAATAAAAAAACGTAACAGATATTTCTTGATTATAGGGCAAAACAAAGTTCGCCGGGTCTTCTAGTATTAAATATAACGGATGTCGTTTGTTGCAGAGGAACTTAGTAGGAGGGTCGAGCAGCAGGGGCGGCGCGGGTGCAGGGCGGGCTGCGGGGGGCGCGGGTGTGCTGGTACGGTCTCTGCACCGAGCTGCTCGAGACTCCTGGGGCTCCGTCAGGGTGCATGACTTCCTGTTGCAGGTACATTATGTTCATTTCTGCTACTTCATGACCATTATTAAATTAATACGAATTCCTCTAGTAGGTTGAATGAGGAATGTATACATCAGTTAATTGTTGTTAGTTATAACGTGATCCTTGGTTTCAGTTGATACAAGAGGGTGGTTTCTGGAGTATGGAGGGTGGCGCGCCCCAGTGGCTGTCTGTGTGTCGCTTCACCCTGCTGGTGACGTCAGCCGCCGTTTCTCGCCTCTCTCCTCGTCTGTCGGCCGCCCTCCAGCCTCTCTTCATAACGTGAGTGGCCTGTGAACTGATAAATACAATATTATTTAACTACATACTATAACTCTCGTTGTACAGCGAACCTGATGATGATGAGCTTCTGGAACTGTCTGAGATGTACCTGAGAGACAGCATCCCGACAGATACCCCGGATGGTGACGTCTCTGATCTTGTACGACGTATGCTGACTCTGTATAAAGAGGTAAGTCGTATATATCTTATATATTTAAATGAGCAATTCTTATTCTATTTATTCTATATATAGAAATCTCGAAATCGCCTCAGACGATTTTCAGGGACGATAGATCGATCTAGCTAGGAATCATTTTTAGAAAACGTTGTTTTATGAAAAAAAAAACAAAAAGGAGGAGTTCAAAATATGACACTTCCTGACATCTATTAGCGAATAGTAATACTAATTTTTGCTAATTTTTTTAAACGAAACATCAGCAGATGGCGTTGCAAGGTAACAGGAAGTCATTATGTTTGAAGTGTTTGTTCTGACGCGGACGTCAGACTAAGAAATTAATTATTGTTGATTTATATCGTTGTGTGTCTACTTAACGTGTTCACTTAAAAATGCCTACACGAAATTAAAAAAAAAACAAAATAAATACTAAAAACTCCTAAATACCGAACAAAGCTCGGTATAGCATAGCAAACATAGCTCGATATTTTATATTAAATATTAAATAGTTTGGACAATATTTCAATGAAACTGATCGTTCCAGGTCGTGGCCACGTTCGACTCCCAGCCTCACTACTCCTGGAACTGCTCTCACATCAGACGTTGGTGTGAGAACGTGAAGCTCTACTGTCCCACTAACACTACGGATGTCTGGACGGTAAAACACTAGAAAATATTTAAAAATATTTGATACATAAAATGAACCAAAACCAATAAGTTCAACATTATATAATATATTCATATGTAAAGTACAATATGTAGTATAGTTTTCTTAAAATATTTTTTCATAAATTTCACTCCATAAGGTTTTGAAAAGCACACGTCATTATTGAATTTATAAAGGAATGAGGGTAGGTCTATTAAATTTCATAATTTTATATTTAAAGGCCATCACAGCAGAAGCGCACATGATATTCAGAGAGAGATTGATCACCGCGGATGAGAGGTCGCAGTACGAGACAATAGTTCAGAAACATTTGCCAGGAACACATCCACGGATGTTCTACAGGCCCAAGATGAGGAACGACGCGATCTACTTGGAGAGGCTCGAGGAGGAGGAGTGGTACCGACACACGCAGAAAACTATCAACCAGTGCTGTAAGACGATATTTATGTAATTAATGAACATTATTTGAGTTATTTAATAGGCAGAGTGACTTAAAGGATAACACAACTTCTGTTGTGATAAATAACTATTTATTTATAATGATGATATTGAAAATATTTATTTAAATAGTAAATTATAACTTTGTATTTGTAATTGTAGTAAATTCATTTGTAGTATTATTAGTTTATTCAAAAATATTTGCACGCCAAATCGGCAGAATATGTTGGACCACTGTAAATGTATGAAATACCTTTGTGAACCCATATTCGACCAAATAAACTACTATTGTGATAGACTTGACAAAGAAAGAAAAGGTTTGATTGTCAGAAGAGGTGTGCTGAGCAGAAAAGTTTATCCACAGTTTAAAATATACGATTTTTGTTAGTGACGGACGACGAGCAAGCCTTCGTGGATGTAGCAGTTGAGGCGTGTGAGGAGCTGACTCTATGGATCATAGCAGCCGCCACCGCTGTGAGTATAGAGGGGAAGAGGGAGGGGAGGTACAGAGTCGAGGTGCTGATGACTAACTCGCGATGTCCCCAGCTGTCCGGGTGTGTGTCGACGTGTGTGTCGAGCGAGGGGGCCGGGCGCCGCGCGGGGGCCAGGCTCGCGGCCGCCGCACTCGGAGCAGCCACACACACTCTCACACACGAGCGTCACCTGCACACACTCATACATGATGTGAGTCGTGTATATGAGTCTTGACGTGTCAGCGATCTATAGCATTGTTACGTATGATTCTTTGATCACGTTAAGGCGCTGTCATCGTCGGTGTCAGGTCGTTCTCTGCTGGTTGTGTGTGGGTCGGCCTGCTCACGCCTCGTCCTGGGGTCTCTGGAGGCGCTGCTCTCGGCCGACTCCTTCCAGTCTCTCCCCTCAGCCATGGTACCTTCTACAGGGAACAACACTCCGAGTCTAGCTAGTGAGTGGAACTGTATGAGCTGATTATTATGAGTACTTATATTACAATTATAAGTTTTTTGATTTGCTGAATATCTTTATATATACCTATAATTCTCCTGTGAGTGTGTATGTCACTGAACTTCTCTCAAACAACTGGACCGATTTTGATGAAATTTTTTGTGTGTGTTCAAGGGGATCTGGGAATTATTTAAATTCACAATTTTGTCCGCTGGACAATGTTTTTTTAATTAATTTTTATTTTATTAGTAGTTGTTGATACAAACGTTTTTATTTGACATTAGATTTGACAACTAACTAATATGTAAATCATTCCGTCGCACTTCAAAACACGGAGATATGTGACTTTATTAGGTAAACTCCAAAAATATATAAAAAAAACGTAACAGATATTTGTTTATTATAGGGCGATACGAAGTTCGCCGGGTCTTCTAGTATTTCTATAAAAAAAAAGGATCAGTCAACAGATTCATTGTTTATCTTTTTCATGTTTATGATAGTAGTAGTTTGTAGTTTTTTTATACATATAATGTATGAAAACGTTGCAATTCCATATTATTTATGGTCACTAAAGAAGTAATTAATAATTTCAGATATCAAACAAAATCTGGGCATTATGATATGTTTGGACAAGGATCAAGAGAAACTCAAAGAGCTGATGGAAGAGTTTCCACTTCTTCATGAGTCGAGCCGGCTGTGCTGGCTGCAGGGCTGGTCGGAGGACACTCTGAGGAAGATGCCTTCACTCGTCATACACAGGTATTCGTTCTCAACCACTATCGTTATATTCCACGATTGTCTTACAGGTGCAGAACATACAAAGCTTGAATGGGGTGTATTTTGAATGGCTGTGACTCATTTCATGTCGTTATACTCGTACACTTACACTTTTGAAAGACAGGCATTAGAATTGAGATAACTATAGTTACACTAAATGATTACAGATTAATGAAAGAGGACGCTCAGGGGGAGAGTCAGGAGGAACTGAACACTGTCCCGGTCGAGGGGTTCGTGGCGATATACACGACGGTGGAGGAGGGGTGGCTGCGAGCGCCCGCCCGGTACATACACTTCATCAAGGCCTACTACCACATACTCAGTCATAAAAGAACAGCTCTGATGCAACGGAAGAACATGCTCGCAGTGAGTTACCCTCTATCTACTGACTGTAATTTATAGTTAAGTTATATCAATAGATAGAACATCTTTATAACAGTGGATTTATTTATTAACTGTGGATTAATTTATTAACAGTGGATAAATTTATTAACTGTTTATTAATTTATTAACAGTTGATTAATGTAATAACAGTTTATTTATTTATTAACTGTGGTTTAATTTATAATACTAATGAATTCAGAATAACAATCAGCACCTTAATAAACTCAAATCGAACCCATTACATCAGCATCATACTTGACTCATCTGACCACAGTAATGAATGTCGTTTGTTGAGTACAGGTCGGAGTGAAGGCGCTGAGCGTAGCTCGCGGGACGGTGGCGACGCTTCAAGGGCAGGCGGAGGAGCAGGAGCGGGCGCTGGGCCTGGAGCGAGCGGCCGCCGCTGACGCGCTGCAGCAGATGGGGGCTACGGTGAGGGCCGCCACGAGCCGCAAGGAGGACATGCAGCGGCTCAAGGACGACATACAGGCCGAGAACGAGAAGCTACAGCTACGGTCAGCACCTACATCACATACCTTCAGGAAACTTCAGACTGACTCTTCTTTCGTGACATAAATGTGTATCAAACTATAATCTTACAATCACTTCAACTCCTAAATTGAGATTTTTACGTAGGCTTTTGTGGTTTGGGTGATGTCTTTAAGGATTATTCTAAGAGTCTTGGTCACCGTCAGTGAATAAAAATATGAGACTATTTATATATCAGTAAAGCTCACGGTGTAAGAAACCTTATATATTGAATAACTGGAGTTACATGATATATAATAATATAAATTATAACGATTATAAAATAAATGCAAGAGGTGATATCTCAAGTTCCATAGCTCTTCTGGCGCATTCAAAATACAAGAATAAATTTAAATACGACAAACTGTAAATAAGCTTTGGTAGTTTTTCTAAAATTTCTGACTGTGACACTTGCATTCCAGTGCACATGTTTTTATTTATTTTACAAAAAATATGCACATATTTTTATTTCTTTTATCGAACAATAAAGTATATAAGTAGATTAATGGCTTACGATTGTTTTCTAAACTCTAGGAAGAAAGAAATCGAAGCGGAGCTAGCGTCTGTGGAGCCCGTGGTGGCGGCGGCCAGGGCGGCCGTCGGGGACATTAGGCCCGAGGCGCTCAGTGAGGTACCACTGATATAAGACTCGCGTGCATATTACGTTATTAGTACATGACAAATAATAAAACCAAATGACAGACATTAACATCTTGTCTTCCCGTGATCACGGTTGTGGCAACGTAACCGAAACCTCGTGAGTACGTAGTTCAAAATAATAAAAAACGTGCAGTAAATTTGAAAATATTAATTTTATTTATAGTGTACTAGTAAACCCGGCGAACTCCGTTTCGCCACCAGATGGCTTTTATATAACATTTCGTTTGGTGATTAAAAGATGAAGATTTTTTTTTTTTCGTTTTATATTTGAAAAGAAAATTTTTTATTTCATTTCACAACAGTAATGAATTCATTTCGATTACACAAATGAAGTATTATTTAGTTGAACTTCTCTAAGTAAATTAAAGTGAATCCAAAGTAGATACCGAATCGAAGCGTTATACGTGTCCGCAAAATATTATCCGTTTCATTGAAGTGGTCCTTTGTAAACCACATTTTTTGTTTTTTGGTCTAACTTTAACACAAATAAAGCGGATGGTTTCCATACTCGTGAACACGCAAAATATAACGCCCATGTGAGGAACAATGATTTTGTAAATTTATCCCGCAAATACTGAATGGTTTTAAGAGTTCAAACTACAAACACAATACCGGTTTGTCACATGAAATTAACTGAGCAGAGAACAATGAGTAGCTGTCAAACAATGTATGATGAACCGGCGCCATCTACTTAAAAATATTGATTTGCAGTACATATATGATGACGCTGTATGTGAAAAAAGATTTTCCCGCTTTTCTGTTGAAATTTTTTGTTATATATCTCACGGAGCCCGAGACCTTTCCAACGAATGCAAAACCGTAGAAATTGGTTCGTTCGTTCTGAAGTTATAGCGTTAAGATGGGAAACTGGACTTATTTTTATATACTAGAAGATCTCTTACAAATATCTAATTGTCATCATTATGTCAATTGCATAGCTGTCAATTGTGTTTCGTTATTCCACGTTTTATAGTGACTGACGTTTCATGTCAAGTTCCATGGGAATGCTGTCAAACGGGATAAAAGCATTTTCCTGGCTCTAAACTAACTCCCTGCCATTTTTCAGCTACATCGGTTCAGCCGTTCTTGACTTATAAGTGGAGTAACTAACACGACTTTCTTTTATATATATAGATGTTTTCTTTGTTTCCAGGTGCGGTCGTTGCGCGCCCCGCCGGAGGTAGTCCGCGACGTGTTGGAGGGCGTGCTGCGTCTCATGGGCATCGCCGACACCTCCTGGCACTCCATGAAGAACTTCCTCTCAAAACGAGGTGTCAAAGAGGACATTAGGTGTGGCTCGGCTTAGAGGTTCTAAACGACCTCACTGTGATAATGCATCACTGAAATCGGTCGTTGTTACAGACACCTGGACGCGGCGGACATCAGCCCGGAGGCGGCGGCGGCGGTATCTCGTCTGGTGGAGCGCCGGGCCGCCTCCTTCACCGCGGAGAGCGCCCGCCGAGCCAGCGCCGCCGTGGCCCCGCTCGCCGCCTGGGTCCGCGCCAACCTCGAACACGTGCATGCTCTAAGCCGAGTGCGACCACTGCAGGAACAGCAGCGGGAACTCCACGAGTACTGTCTTCTCTTCCCTCACTTTTATCTCCCCGAAATATTCCTGATCACCACGTCGTCCACAGGAGGCTCCGTCGTGCGGAGGAGGAGGTCGCGGCGCTATCCTCGGGACTGGTTTCTGTGGAGGGTCGAGTGTCGGAGCTGCAGGAACAGCTCGGACAGCACGCGCATGAGGCGGCGGCCTTGGAACACAAGCTGCAGCTCGCCACACACACGCTGCGGGCCGCCACCACGCTGCTTGACCAGCTCGGACACGAGGCTCGCACCTGGGATGATGATGTAAGGGAATATATAGTCACAAACATTATTACGAGTACTGGTTCACCATACCGTTATATGTGGATCCATTATTTACCTCAAAAATTCACTTATATACCTATTCGCAGACGATTTAAAGACTTCCGCTCGTATTCGTAATGTCTCAGATTCAATTTTATTCCGAGACGACTTAAATAGACTGTCCTAATGGTGTACAAAAAATAAAAGCAACTAAAAATTTAGGATTTTTAATAAGAGAAGGTAAAAATTTTAAGATACCATTTACTAAAATAATTATGTATAATTCTTTGGTACGGAGTCACCTAGAATATGGATCTGTAGTTTAGTCTCCTCATTATAAATACTATGTTGACAGAATTGAAAAAAATAAAAAGAAATTTATGAGGCATTTAATTTATAGTTGTAATCTAAAAAGACAACTTACTTCCTATCAGGATCGTCTTAGACATTGTTGGAGAACCAAATAAATAAATAAATAAATACATACATACATACATAAGTAAATAAATAAATAAATAAAAATTTCTTAGAATATTTTTTATTACAGTTGCAAAATATTTCTATAGAGATCTTGGAACTAAATCAGAGATCTCTGTTGGCTGCTGGATACTTGTTGTACCTGCCTCACTTGACGGAGCAGCAGGCGAGGTATGTTCACTGTATATTTTTAATATTCTAAATGGTTCATGACTTTAATGTGTTACGTGTATATTTCAGGGAAAACCTGTTGCGATGGAGTTCTCTCATACAGTATGAAGATGCTAACTTTTCAGTCATAAATTTCCTTTCATCTTCGGAGGAACAGCTTTGTTGGCAAGCCGAGGGACTACCGACGGATCTCTCTGCCGCCAAGAACGCTCTCACTCTTCACCAAGTACGCTACACTACGTAACGTTTAAATGAGCCACAGAGCAAGTCATGACAACATTGTCTGTGCTTTACAGTTCCTATCCGGAGTGGGCCTTCGCCCTCTGTTGGTTGATCCGGAGGGCGAGGCGCGCACCTGGCTTAAACTTGCATCAACTGTGTCAATGGAAACAGTGAGTGGTGGCGGGCGTGAGCTAGGGGTAGTGATGCAGCAGGCCCAGCGAACCGGCGGGACCTTACTGGTGACGGAAGCTGATCAGTTGGAGGGCTGGTGGTGGAGCGCCCCGGGGGCCGCGCGGGCCGTCCTACTCACTGGTGACACCGCGATGCTCGAGCGACTGGAACCACACATACGAGCTACCCTCGCACCACTGCTGTTCACCTCGCGACTCGACGCGTTACTAGGTGTGATATATAAAAATATAAAACTTCTCAAGCTGAAGCAGCATGTTATATACCTGAAATGTTTCAGATCAATTAGTGAACTATGCGATAGAGAAGCGACATCCGGAGATGTTCGAGAAATGGAAGGAAATGAAACTTAAGACGGCCACCTTACAGAAACAACAGCATGAGGCACAGGTACAGGCGGGGGAGATGTGAGGAAACGGGAATATTATAAGAGTTTAGGTTTAAAGAAGTTTATTTCCAAAAAGAACAAAGTTCGCTTACAAAGGAAATTTTAAAAATTATAACTACAATTAAGATTACAAATAATAAACAGTAGTGATATTAAATAAGATCAGTGAAATCATCTAAGATATAGGTTTTAATCGTTATTTAAATATATTTCGAGATTTGGAATTGACAACACTTTGAGGCAAAGAGTTATACAGCTGTGCTCCTTGAAATAGATAAAAAAAAAATATATCATTTAAATATTGACTTAAACAATTATGAACGATTTTTTCAAATATTTTTAACAAAACGGGTAACACAGAAATAGGTCGATAGTTACCAGGGTCTGATTGTGTTCCCGATTTATATATTGGAGTTACTCGTGCAATTTTAAGATTATCTGGAAAAAATCCTTTACTTATGGATTTATTTATACAGTGACTTAAATTTTTACTTATTAGGTTTTTTATACATTTTATTGATTCTACCGTAACCCCATCAATCCCTGTACTTGTGTTAGAATCCAAACTATTAATTATATTTATTACCTCTTGTTCCGTACAAGGTTTGAGTAGCTCAAGTTTTTGTGTGTATTTATGTACAGATAAAGTTTCGCTATTAGTGTTGTAATTATGATATTTAGCCGAGATTTGTTTCATTAACACCTTGCCTATAGATAAATCCTAAGAGTATATATATATAATGATCTATGTATTAGGAACACCTGCTGAAGGAGCTGTCGGTGTCGCGCGACATTCTACAAGATGAGGGGTTGGTGGCTGCCCTAGATGGGGCGCGGGCGGCCACGGGTCAAGTGACAGCGGCTCGGGCTGAGCAGGAGGCGCTAGCGAAGGCCGTGGCGGAGAGCGCGGAGGCTTGCCGCCCGCCCGCACTCACCGCCGCCCGACTGGCTCTGGCGGTACGACGACTGGCCTCCAGACGACCACTACTGGCCTTGCCCGCCACCGCACTACGAGATGCCTTCCTTGAATCACTGGACAAAGACCAGGTGAACAGTACTTTTGGGATTTACTTATTTTGGCATGTTATCGTATATTTTAAACAAATAAAAGGACGCAGTACACGATCAGTTGACCATCGATAGGTCAAGTTGACACTGAGAAAATAATATGTTAAAATTATTTTATGGCAACAAGGAACAAGTGACTAAACACTTTGTGAAGAAAACATTGAAGCGCGTGATGCTGAGCGTCCATCGTCGGGAGAGGTGGGTCGTCATGTTGCACCTCATGAAACACGTGCACCAGGACCTCGTTAACGAAAAGGTAACAACTAGGACGAACATCAGTATGAAAACTATTTACTGTTACATCAAAAGCAAAATAAATCGATTATAACTCTAAGCACACCTTTCCTAATATTCTGCTAGTTTACGATTAAAATTTTTCCATTGGCATTAATGATGCAAGACTCTTTTCATAATGAGGTCTAAGATTTTCGCGAGTCCTAAAAATAAAAAACGCGAAGTAAAATCCGAAAATATTTCATTTAAAAGACTCTTTTTATTTTGTTAACGTTACGAGGTTTCTTTCATTACAGCTCTGGCAGCTACTGGTCAATAACTTCAACATGGAAGTGCGAGACGAGAACTCGACAGTGGAACTACAGAACAAGTATCACTGGATGAGCAAGAACAGCGCCAGAAGAGTGGCGCTGATAAAGGTAGAGATATATAGAAGATCAAATTATTATTATTTATTTATTCATTTATTTATTTATTCATTCATTCATTCATTTATTTATTTATAAGGACAACTTACAAAACATACACTATTTATAGGTTTTAAAATAAAGGTAATTACATTTTTAGTCAAGTGTTGTTTCAATTAAAAGTTATCACGGCATGGAAAAGGACAGTATTTTCTATTAACCTAACACAACTTTTTTTTTTACTTCTATTATACGAAAGGGGAAACAAAACATACTACCAACAATAATACAATATAAAATGTAAATTACAAAAGACAATAACAAATTACCAACTTATTACTAAAGAATTAAAAAAATAAATTAAATGAATTTTTTTTTTAGATAACAAAAATTTTATAGCAAACATAACAAACAAACAACTGTAATACAGAACCTAAACGACACAATATAAACGTGATCGATGTTGAAAGACTGGAATGTGATCTTTATTTTATTATTTTCAATATATGTATTTTATTATTATATTAAGTCAAGATCTAGATATTTTTAATAACTCTGCTATGACATTTCGTAAACGGGCGCTAGAATTATTGAGGGATGCAAATAAATAAATAAATTATAAATGTTTAATATCTATTTATCTTAATTTTATATTGCATTGATTTTTATATTTTAAGTGATTTTTATGCATGAATTTAATGAATTATTTAATTTTAATTTTATTAAGTACATATTTGTGGTTTTTAATTTGTATCTAAAAAATTTTTGTACCAATTTTAACTTATTATTATTATTTTTTAAATCTTTCTCGCTATAATTATGTATTAATACTTATATTTTTAAAACAAACATTGTAATTGTTGTGGCCACTTTAAAAAGCTACACATGTAACCTATTTCCATTTAATTGTTTTATATACGGCATTTAAACATGTAGTAGCTGCTAATGGTCCTTAAATAAATAAATTACTTTATTATAATATTTTCTTTAAACAAAAGTATTGTTCAGAGGATATTTCGATATAATTATATGTATAATTACAGACGCTGGACGAGGATCTTTTCGAGCGTCTGTCACTGGGGCAGTGGACCAGTGAGGGTGACCTGTTCGTGTTGGAGGGAGCCTCACTGTCTCCGGGGGAGAGGGTGCTGGTCGCCGCCGCTCTCAACCCTGGGGCCTTGCACCAGGCCGTGATGCAGTGTGTCGAACAACTGATGGGTGATTACTAATATATATATATATACTAGAAGACCCGGCGAACTCCGTATCGCCCTATAATCAAGAAGTATCTGTTACATATTTTTTATTTATATTTTTAGAGTTCACCTATTAAAGCCATAAATCTCCGTGTTTTAAAGTGCGACAGAATGATTAAAATATTAGTTAGTTGTCAAATCTAATGTCAAAAAAAAGTTTGTATCAACAATAACTAATAAATTAAAAATTAATTAAAAAACATTGTCCAGCGGACAAAATTATATATCTAAACCATTCTTGGATCCCCTTGAAGACTCACAAAAAATTTCATCAAAATCGGTCCAGTCGTTTGAGAAAAGTTCAGTGACATACACAGTCACAGAAGAATTATAAATATATAAAGATAGATACAACCATTACTACTACTACTACTCAGTCGTTACCTTGAGCTACCCATTCACTATACGTCTATCTATGTAGAGGGAACAAGCTTCACGGACGGCGAGGCAGTCCCGCGGGCCCTTCGGTGCTCCGCCCCGGGCCAGCCCGTGTTGCTGTTAGCGCCGCACGCCGGTCAACACCTGGCGACCGTGGCTACATCGCGGGGGCAGACGCTCACCACCGTACGTACCTTTGAATAGACGTGGTCTTCGTTATGATATAATAATAACAATAATAACAACAACAACAACAATATGGCGTGCAAATATTTTTGCATAAACTAATAATACCACTAATGAATTAACTACAATTACAATTATAAAGTTACAGTTTACAATTTAAGTAAATAATTTTCAATATCATCATTATAAATAAATAGTTATTTGTGAGTTAATTCAAATAAAATTACAATATAATTTAAAATTTGTCGTTAAGAAATTCATTAATACTATAATACAGTTTATCTATCAGTAATTTAAAACAAAAATTCTTAAATAAATTTAGAGACAATTCTTTACAATTGCTGGGTAGGTGGTTGTAAATGCGTATGGCCATGCAGTATACATTGTTATGATACAAAGATAATCGTTGAGCTGGAACATACAGTTTTTCTTTAATTCTGCTACGCGTATTTATTACATCACAGTTTCGTTTAAACAAATAAATATTTTTATAAACAAATATACCAATTTCATATATGTATAGGCAATATATTTAGACTTTAAAATATAGGTTTACAGCTCTTGGTGAAATGAATATTATAAATAGTTCTTATACATTTTTTTTTTTGTGTCTTAAATGCAACATGCAAGTCCACAGAATTACTCCATATTACAATAACCATATCTTAGCCAAGATTCAACATATCCATGGTAAGCCGTAATTGCTGCTGTAACAGAAACTATTTGGCTTATACTTACGCCTTAATGCATATATAAATTTATCAATCTTGGTACATAAATTATCAGTATGAAACTTCCAGTTATAATATTTATCTATGTATTTATTATACCCAAAAACTTTGTATTATTGGCTTCTAATATATCAGTGTTGTCGAAATTAATTTTAATGGACTGTAATTTACTTCTATAAGTTTGAAATGTGACAAAATTTGTTTTATTTAAATTGATACCATGTTACATGACCATTACAAGCGACTCATGTCACCAGGTGGGGATCGATGATGGACTAGTGGCCTGGGAGGACGGTCTGCAGCGAGCGCGCCCCGGCGGCTGGCTGGCCGTCACCGTGGGAGCGTCACCCTTCACGAGAGACTTGACCGTATTCGTTGCATCGATCGCGGAGAGGGTAATGTCTCTTCGCTGTATGTTAGATGCAAAGCTTTTAAACTTGCCTTCAAAACCTGCTAAAGGTGAAATTGACTGTCAATTGTCTTTTTCTTGGTATGGTTCCATTGACATTGAGTGAAGAAAGATTAAGATTGACAAGAAACGGAGCGTTTTGTTTACTGAAACCACCTTAAGTTCAATTTTTCAGTGTGCTAGTCCAGCTCACTAATCCACATTCATCTTTTCTTTCATTATTGTCCATAAATATATACATAATTCAATTACAGGCGAACGAGTTCAGCGACGAATTTCGTCTTTGGATCCTGGCCGAGGAACGACCGATTCCATACGCCCTAACGAGTGCGTGCGTCACCGTCATACTGGAGGTATGTTCTTAAAAATATTTTACAAGACAACTCCACGCTTGTAATAAGTACCCCAGGGTTTAGCAAATGAAACACACAGTTGGTCCAGATCTTGATTATATTTTTGCTTGGAGAATTTTACTTGCGTGTTTAAATTTGTTTACTGCTGCCATCTATTTATAAATTAAAGAACTAAATTACATATAAATAAAGAATAAGAATTATACAAATATAAAATTGTGAATCCATAGTAAAAGATTCAGGTCCAAGTCCAAGTAATCGCTCCATCTTCATTTGTGTAATTTAAATAACGGTAACAGCCAGCGGAGGGCGTGAAGCGAGCCGCTTGCAGCGCGCTCGAGTCGTGGTCGGGACAATCAGTGACGGGAGAAACAGCGCGACTGGCGGCCGGCCTGGCGCTACTACACGCACTTGTTACCGAAAGACGCGCATACATACCCATAGGTACCAACTATGATATCCAACAACGTATAGCATATAATGTTATATCTATCCGTGCTACTAAAACAGCCTTCGCTAGGATTCAGTATGATAATGGATCTGCTTATTTATATACTAAGATAAATAAATACGTTGATATATATTCAAAAACTTGTACAGAGTGTAAAATTAAAATAATAAAATGGATAAAATCTTTAAGTTTTCAAGAAACGGATTTTTTTTTAGAATATAGGAACTAGCAATCATATCCTACACACACCAACATACACCTACAACACACACACACACAAATGCGCACGCGCACACATGCATACACATACATTTTAATCCCACATTCGCATCCTTTTTGGTAATTACTTCTCTTATTATTACTTTTTTATATTGTTTCTTTATTATTGTTGTACCTTAAATATCTTGTATATTTGTACCTAATTCGTGATATGGAAGAGCGGAGTTTCCCGGCACAGGCTTTTCATATGCTTAAAAGGAGACTCCAATAACTATATTTAAGTAAAAATTTGTTAAAGAAAATAAAGAATTTTATTTATTTATTTAATTCATATACAAGATCTCATCGCTAACACATCTCGTCTCCGGTTTTGGTCAGGTTGGAGTCGCTGGTATGGTTGGGGCTGGTGTGAGTGGCGCGCGTGTCAGACTGCGTTACAGACAGCGGGCCAGGCGGCGCGTCCTCTGTGCTTCTCGCTGTATTCATCTCGAGTCAGCGAGCGAGCTGACCGCCGTGTACTGCTGGCGCTGGAGGCTCGCTGTCTATCTGGAACTCCGGCCCTTCGACTACCGTCTTCAGCAACACTTCAGGTACACACCAGGCTAACATCCGCCTCATTATTATTATTCTTTATTGCACAAATAAAACATGTACAAAGTGCGGACTTTACTATAACAGCATTTTCTGCCAGCCAACCCAGAATAATGTAGGAGACTATTCAGTAGGGTGTGCACAGAAGTTAAAGGAAAATTTAAGATATATACATAGCAATAGATGCCTATAAATATGTATAATAATACATGGTCTCAGTCCAGTCTTCACACCTCAATCCCTGATGTTTCCCTTCGTCCTCAGGACTACGCGTGTTCGTTGGAGTCCTTGCCATCTTCGGACTCGGCCTCCTTGCTCCAGCTGCCTCTCAACTGTCGCTCCGCCCGCCTTCAGTTACACGCGACACACATCATGGACGGACTAAGAGGTATTGAGGAAAATTCTACCGCATATTCTACGTTAAATTTTCTGTGACAGACCATTATAAGAAGATACTTAATGCTAATTCTTCCTCTATTAACAGAATTCAATAGCACGTCTCGTGTCAAAGAGGAAGGCTCCTTCACGTCGTCCAAGATACTTCAATCTCTGTGGAAGAAGTTGATGTCGGGAAGTCCTCTACTGAAACCGGACTACCGCGTCAAAGATGTAAATATTACATATACAAACTATTATTACAACCTCAAACATTTCAAGTTCATCAAAAAACTATGCATTTGTTAAAACAGACATAATATTATATAGTAATTGAAAATATTATTATTATTTATTATTTATTTATTGGATTGCCAACAAAGTATATAGAAATACAACCATTTAAATCAATACAATTAAGATGCTATGTGCTACCTCAGTTACAGGCAACCACTACATGATGAAATAGTAACAGAGTGCATGTAATCACAAGGTTAACATTTTGGTTAAAATACATTTTAGTTTAAATACAGTACATGAAGAACAAACAACTAGAAAGTAAAATCTAAGCTTAATTAATTAAATATTTTTTAATTGTTTTTTTTAATTCAAGAGGCCTTCCCGAGAATATATCAATATTAGTATTTTTAAAAAGAGAGTTAAACTTTAATGTCATTCCATTTAAAGATGAATAATGAGCGAGATTACTTTTGCATTTTTTTGTATTGAATGGAGTATACACGAGCCTTCTTGGGAGTTTAACAGGTGCATTTAAGTATAGTTTTGAAAGTAATTGCGGGCTTTCTATATCTTTATTTACAATTTTGAACAGATAATATAAGATTATAAAAATATTATAATGATTTGAACACACTGACTTCTCTTTATATTATGTTTCTTTGATGTTCTAATCCAATTTTAACGTTACTAGTAAACATATTTTTAACTAACTCTTCAACATTCGCTCCTAAACTGGCTTCGTGTCATCCCAGTCACTGATACACATTGTTTATCCCAGTTGTTTTATTTAAACACATGATATATCCACATATCCTGGTAACGTTTCGAATGTTTGAGAAACATTCACAAACAATGTTAGAAATAAGGTTCTCACAAGTAATTTTCTGAGGCTGTTATTTGAATAAATGATAGGGTATAATAATATGTAACGTTTTCTCCCCCTTTCAGTGTGTCGGGTGGTGGGGGGCGGTGGTGTCAGCGGAGGCTCGTGACGCGGCCCGCGGGGCCCGGCTCCTGCATGCCTCGCTGTCTGCTGCGCGGTTCATGTCACCAATGACCCAGGTACCGACGCTTTACATACATACATTTCTTCTCCTTTACAATCAAAAAAACTAACTAAAGGACTACGGAGTCAGCTTATGTGTACGTATGTGTGTGTGTGCAGGTCCCGGAGAGCTGGCAGCTAGTGTGGGCCGGGCCGGACCTGCCTCATGACTACCTGAGGGAGTTCACCTCCCGGGTGAAGGCGGCACACCTGAGGACCCTGGAGGAGGCTCCAACGAGACAGGACTACATGCCCACAGGTCACACATGATACTGATGATGTTCATGAAACACGATGTTAATAACGAAACATTAACTGACATTGTTTGAATGGTCACATTATTGTAGATTATCCTATATATGTCCAAATCAATAGGACGTAGAAAAACATTGAACACATATATCAAGGCCGTGCTGTGTGTCTCGAGAGACCGAGGTGTGAGTGACATCAGCTTTGTGGTCAGACGTAGGATAATAGTGAGGAATTGAGATCATCACCATGAGAAAAAGTATTAACATATCTTCTCCCTTAGAGCTGGACCTGCGTCTGTTCCTCCGCCCTGACCGCGTGTTATCGGCGCTGCTCGCTCTCATCGCGTCTCGCCTCGCCTGCCCCCCGGCGACGCTCGTCCTCACCGCACAGTGGAATTGCACTGACGGTTTGTTTAACGCTTATTACAATAAATGTATTTATGACAGATTTCAGTGACGATTACAGTAATCCTTAAGTGTCATCTCTATACCATCAGTAACGGCGGAGACAGGCGGTTTGTCAGTCAAAGGCCTGTCCCTATCGGGCGGCGTGTGGAGCTCCTCAGACGAAAGCGGCCGCGAACGAAAAGGAGAGGGCTTTGTGGCGGCCGTGAGCGCGGAGTCCCCGGCACTATCGGACGCTCCACCTATTCTACTACGATACGTCCGCCGCGCCGAAGACTCCTCACAAGGATCCCGCGACCCGCAGCCGACCCTAATCCCTCTCTACGAGAGTCCCCGGCGAGAAACAGAGCTATGCTGGATCCGGGCCCCGCTGGGAGCCTCACTAACTGCACAAGACGCCGCGCTACATGCCCTGGCGCTGGTGGTCACTCCACATGACTAGTGCACACACATACACAAACGAGATGTGAAATAAATATTATGAGTATTTAAGTACAATTGAAGATTTGCTACCTTACTACTTGAAATGGGAATATAAAAATAGTATACACAGGTGTAGTCGGTCCCATAACGAACTGGCCTGATATAGTTTTCCACGTCATGTCATTAAGTGTTGTATTAGGTTCAATTGCATTTTTATCATATACTTGATATAAGAAACAGGCAGCGACTAATTACTACGGTTAGTATAAAATGTAATAAAATTGGTTTCGCTTCATTCCCGTAATTAATTCGAAGTTAGGTCAATTTAATATGGGACCGCCTAGGTAAAATACTTGTAAGTGAAACAGAATTTTAAAAAAGAATAATTTAGTTGTTACTCATAGAACTTAGAAGTGATTGTAATACATTGTGTACTCTTATTAAACGGTTTTATTTAGCTCACCCCGTTTGTTTTATTTATTATTTATTCTTGGGTCAAATTTTGCTATTCAAATTTCACCCTCTTCCTGTCAACCGATTAATCTGAAATTTTATATACACTTTGGATTTTGGTGACAATACAATCATGTTTTTTTATGTTTAATTAATCACATCAATATGGGTATCAAATGAAAAGGCTCAAAAAGCAAAATACAATATACTATATAAAATTAAAATCCAAGATGGCGGCCTCTACAAAATGGCGGATAACTTAGGTTTTATCAATCCCATCAATATGGGTATCAAATGAAAGGTCTCAACAAGTAGAATAGAAACCTTTCAATAATGAAGCACTAAATAAATTGCACAGAATGCGAAATAAAACTAAAAACTATAAAATAAAAAAAGATAAAAAAACTTTTTTAAGTTAAACGGTTTTACGTGAAACATACATTGCAATGTTTAAGATAAATGTACTAAAAACCAAAAAATAATAAAATAGACACAGTCGTGGAATTATAAACATATGCAAAGACTAGACTAAAATAAAACCGCTGGGCACGTCAATTGTCTACAAATTATCGACTTAATGTGCGATAGAAGAATCGTTTAATTCGTCGTTAGGCAGTTGGCCCAGACGGTGAGGAAATTACTTACTATTTTCTTGCTTATGGGTTTTTTTTTACATATTTTTTTGTTATAAGTTCACGTCTTATGTCTCAACAAATAAAAACAGTCTTTCACCCGGTACAGCTGTTATGAGCAGATATACAAATAAATTTGCATTTAAGAATGAAACTAGAAAAACACAATTTTAAAAATGTAACAATTATTTTTTTAATTTACAAATACATTTATTTATTTTAATTCGCATCTCTACACACGCACACATACAGACACCTTTATATTATATTCATAGATGTCACTGTTCAATTGTAATCTTAAACAGGGAGAATAAATAATAATCATAAAATATTTCAAATATTTTATTATTTGTAAAAACAAACATCCCTCTTAGGAGATCAAACGCGACGTGACTAGAGACGTTACACGCGCTCGTATGACGTTTGACAGTACAATATTACTTTACAAATGTAATAAAAAACATTAATTACCTTAATATAACAAACTAGAATAAGGATTCGTTTCTCAATAAGTGCATCACAGCCAGTTCATAGGTAAGGCACATATGGTTTCGTACACGTTTACTGTTCACTTACACTAATCGAAAACAGTTGTCGATTCTTAAGCAAACTTCTCACGTTACAAAATTAAAAAAGAATTCAAATACACCTAATAATATAACAGAAGGCTTATTTAGTTACATGCTACTGTAACGTTGAGCGACTCCTATATATAATACGTATTAAAAAAGCAAACCAAATCAAATTCAACAATACAACAAAATATTTATACCTAACGTGTATCTTACATAGTGACAGGCGGCTCGTTGACGTGAAACAGATAAAAATTAAAAAATGTACTGAAATGATTTCCAGAAATGTTGTTGGTTTCAGGAATCTTTATAAAATACACCTCAAGAGTAAAACTATTCTAGCTTATTTTTCCGCTGTCTATTTGCTTGTTTTGCTTGTAATTCATATTATGACTGTTTAAGTTTGGCCGACAATGTCTCACATTAAACCCTAGACACTTTGTTTCTAAAACTCATTACTGAAAAATTGACTCCTGGGATTTAAAATTTAAAAATTATACATAATATTATACTCAGCTATCTGGGCTCAGACCTAACATAATTAATAAAATTTTAGACTCTTCCTATTATTAGTGTTACAAATATGAAATTACAGAATATTCTTGAATACAAAAATATTAAAATTCTCATGTTTCTAACACAAATTACTCAGATATAAAAATTTTAACATAATAAAAAGGCAGCCACATTTGTTTCATTGACAAATCAACTTAAAAACATTAAAATTGACAGAATTTAGTCTAAATTAGATATAAAGTAAAATGCTTGTGCACCTTTGCAATAATTATTTTAGAAACTAAGGCCAGTTTGTTCTTGAGATCAATAAATAATTATTCTGTATAAAAAACACAAATCATTATATTAAAATATATTATTCTAACCGCATGCAGTTTATTGAAGCATCTTATATTCTGATATTGAGCAGGAGACTCAGAAAGTTACCCTACCTTATACATAGATTATTATATATATTATGAATTCATAGTGAAATACTAGTGTGGTGTCCCTTTTCTGACGGCAGGACAGTTTGCGAGATTCACCACAAATACAATTCTTCTAATCACATATTTTCATTAAGAAATAAACAATATAGTAAATATTATTTATCCCGAATTACTAATTGTTCCCTCCATTGAGCTCACACTTATTAGATATTATTAAATTATTAAATCTATTCTATTAAGTATATATTTAAAGTACATAATATGAAGGAAGACATGTTTTATTGTCTTATTGAATATTACTAGCAGTAGAGTATTACGTTAACCACCCACATACAAACAGTCACTCACACTCTCATACAATCTACAATTAAATTTTTAGTGGAAATAAAGTAAGCAGTAAAAGCATATAAAAATTTTTACTAATCACCCCTCAAAGAGATGAACATATGAGCAAGATATGAGCCGGGATAGGTAGATGTTTAAATCACTATTGATCAATCACACCGTTATTTATCCGATCAACATTTCCCACAGATTCATATATTTTATTGCTAAAGATTCGAAATATTTTGAAAATATTAAGCCTTAAGACTCTCTGTATACATAGCACACTATATATTATATATAACAACTCCCCGAGACGTCCTCGGGCTAAGACTACTGGCACACTCACTTGAGTCACAGGAACACTACGGCACTTAATGTTATTCTAAATGCTTTTAATCTCATTGAACAGTCTGACGGCCATTGTTATTGCACGGATCTTGCATCAGACTCATTACTGATGCTGGTCTACCTGTAAGTACAGCTCGGTGAAGGGTCATTGACCTGTGAGCGAGGCGCCTCCGGGAACATATTCTGCTGTATGTTGATGAAGAACGCCTTCACACCGCCGCCGCCCGCACCGCCCAGCCCACCAAGACCTCCCTCACCACCCGCGCCTGAAGACGACGTGTTCCGTGCGTTATTGCTCTCCTGGAAATTAAAGATAGACAATGTGAATACACAGTATTACTAGCTGACGCGGCAAACGTTGTTTTGCCATATAAGAAAACTAGAAGACCCGGCTAACTATCAAGAAATATCTGTTACTTTTTTTTTATTTTACGAGTTTACCTATTAAAGCCATAAATCTCCGTGTTTTGACGTGCGACAGAATGATTGACATATTAGTTAGTTGTCAAATCTAATGTCAAAAAAAACGTTTGTATCAACAACTACTAATAAATTAAAAATGAATTAAAAAACATTGTCCAGCGGACAAAATTGTGAATCTTAACAATTCCCAGATCCCCTTGAACACACACAAAAAAATTCATCAAAATCGGTTCAGTCGTTTGAGAGAAGTTCAGAGACATACACACTCACAGAAGAATTATATATATAAAGATAGGGGTTGGTGATAAAAGAGTAAAAATTTTGGGTTGTATGTATTTTTTAATGCTACATTATAAAATAAAAACAAAAAAATCATCAGAAAATAAAAAAAATAAGGGTGAACACCCCTTATCATTTTGGGGTATGAAAAATAGATGTTGGCCGATTCTTAGACCTACTCAATATGCTCACAAAATTTCATGAGAATCGGTTCACGAAAATTTCATATATAAGATGGTAGTGTCGTTTTTGTGAGAAATCGAGGAGCCTCGTGATGAAGAGCTCGTGAGGAGTATGTATGTGTTGCGTGTGTTACCTGTGTAAAAGTCCGCGGGTCTCTCACGAGCGTGGAACGCCTGGCGGCGGACAGTAGCTCGGTGAGCTCAACGCCGCCTAGACCGCTAGGGAACAAGGGAATACACATTATTATCAGAAACTAGCTGCGCCCCGCAGTGTTACCCGCGGATTTGCGGGATGTAAAGTAGCCTATGTGTTATTACTGGACGTCAGCTTCCTGTATGGACGTCAGCTTCTTGTATACAAAATTTTATCAAAATCGGTTCAGCCGTTTGAGCGTGAAGAAATAACAAACACACACACACTCACAAACTTTCGCAATTACAATATTAGTAGGACAACACTCTATCACCTAGTTCTTTATTAAATCAAAAGAATTAGTCGATAAACATTGGGTGGATGTAGTTTCAACTAGTTTTTTTTTGCCACACACGATCATTCGACCAGCATATCCACCTTATGTCCTATCTACAGCCTTATCTAAATATCTGTATCATGAAGTGTATTGTGGATCTGCTAGTATGATTTTTAATGTAAGAACATGTGCACACTTGAATTTGTATTTAATTTGGTGTATCTTTCAGGTTAAATTCCAGGAGAATATTCTATTCATATTAAGGGGTGACCCCTTCAGGATCTATTAGAACTTAAAAGGTTTAGAAGTTGGGAAAACAAATCCAGGAATAAAACGATCGCATGGCGCGTTGATTGCATTAAAATTTTGTATAGATTGAATACTTCTTCATGCTAAAGCGGTGAGCGGTTGAAAAACACTGCTCTACTTTATATATAGCAGAATAATCTGAAGTTCTTCATCCAAGGTAGGGTCAGTGTTAGTGGTACCTGTCGTTGTGGTGTGTGTCTGCATGTCCCGGGGTCCAGGTACTCTGCGCGGTGTCCTCGTCGTGTGAGGGGTCGCTGGGAGGAAGGGTGAGGGTCACGGAGGGAGACCCGGTCTCCGCTGGACCTGGAGACTCCTCGCTGAAATCAGACCACACACGTTAGAGACAATCGACGAAGCTGTTCCTTATATGAGGAGTTATGATGAGTACTCACGCGGGCGGGACCCTCACGTAGTCCGGGTTGTTGTAAGGCGTGGCTGCCTGCCGTCCGTCCGTGCCGCGCGTGTGAGCGTCCCCGGCCTCGGGCCTCGTCTTCTTGTACTCCATGAGCGCGTCACCTTCTGTAATGTTGACCTATATTATTATCACCCGACCTCGGTACTGTAACCCCAAGGGCGCGTTGGCGTCATCTGTGACGTCATGCCAACAGCAATTGATAATGTTAATTAATTATGTTCGGAGAACTGAACGCGTCATTCGGTTGACATTGAAAGAGGGTGTAAGAGCTTCACTAACAGAAGTAAAGTGAGTCATTAATATTCTATTGAGCATGTAGCTGACCTGAGTCGCTCGCGGGTTGTCCGTGGCCATCAGTGCGGTGGTATCGTCCGGGCTGGTGGCTGAGGTCCTGTGGTCGGTGGTCTATGTCGGTGTAGGGCACCGTGTAGTACGGGGGCGGCGGCCCGGGCTGCTCGGGCGCCGTCGGAGACACGGACGTGGAGGTCACTGACACAGACAAACTTGTTAGGAATCAGATCACGACAATTATAACGAGAACTACGGATGTGTACTCACGGGTCTTGATGGACGTAACGTTGAACAGGTTGTTCCTCAGCATGTAATAGACGAGCGCCGCGCCCGCCACGAATAAAACTAGACCGAGCGCTAGGGCTCCGGCTGCCCACATAGGGAAGGAGCCGGCGCTCTCGGATGGCACGCAGTCCGTCACATCACCGCCCACTTCCTCCACCAGCCCTCTAACGCAGGGTCCACACTCCGACACAGATTTGACGCAGTCCGTGGACACCGGCGGAGGCTCCCTGTGCAGTAGATCACAGTGCAGACAGCGGCGACACACGAACAGTCTCGGTACACAGTACGAGCCTGTTTGACACTGACTGTCCAGCTCACACTCGGCCGCCTGGCCCTGGCTACTCCCTGCCATGGAGCAGACGAGCCACAGCAACATAAACCTGCACACACAAGAATCAACTACACCTGGGAACTGACCATGTTACTTATGACACTATAATACCTATAGGAAGGCGCCTACATCCAACTTTTTTGTTTGTTTTTTGTTATCCGCTCAAGAAATATACGTGGGAGGCGTCGAGTTGTGACTCCCATTATAATTGTCTCACTACTTAGTTACTTACCGCCTATATCTGTGTATAAATTATATTTTTAGCTTCAGACCGGATCGTCCTCGTTTAAGGCAACGATTACGAATATTATAACTGTGAATTCCGATCGAATTTTATTAAAGTTTGTTCGTTCTTTATGTATTTTAAACAGTATTTCTATTTCCAGGAAACAGTCTTACTATGAACTGTAGCTATGATAATATCTGTCATACAAAAAGGACCCAATTCTTTGTTCGCGGACCGTCATTAACGTCCACACTCAATACAAACAATATACAAAAAAAGTTGATATTTATTTTGTTTAGTCTTCGTGACAACATGTTTCGCCAATAGAATTATGTAACTGGGAATAGAAAACAACAATCGAGTGGCTTCAATTATTAATGAAAATGGATAAAGTTTACTCTATAGTCTACGTATTCTGAGCTTATAAATACAAAGCAATTCTAAACTCTCGTTTTAAAAATATTGTGAGCAGATAAGATGTATTTTTAAAGAGGGTAGTTCAAAATAAGAAATTCTGATGTTTTGTCACATTAAAATATATAAGATTATTGTAAAAATGCGACTGAACTTTACTATCTTTATAAAAGTAAATGGTTTGTGAAATCAGTTTTAGGAACCGCCTTTTATATTACAAATTGTAATTACGATAAAAATGTTTTGTTAGGAAATGCTTTGTTGTACCGAAAAATAAACAAATCTATCAGTGAAGAACGTAAATTATTAAATAAAAATTAAATGTAGTATAACTCAAATAGTATTGACTATAAAATAATAACTTTCAATAGTACTTATTTTTTTCCTTTTAAGTTTATACTATTCAATAACAATCATCATCATAACACAGTAATTATTTATTACCTTTAATTGGATATAAACTATACAAATACGGTTCAGAATAAATACCTCCTCATCGTATCAGTGACGAAGTAATATGTTATACTAGCTTTCCGCCCGCAGCTTTACCCGCGTGGAGTTTGGTTATATCGCGTTTCCAAGAGAACATTTCAAAAGTCTGGGATAAAAATTATCCTAGGTTCTTTCTCAAGGTCAACTCTATATCTGTACCAAATTTCATTAAAATCAGTTCAGTGGTTAAGGCGTGAAAGCGTAACAGACAGACAGAGTTACTTTCGCATTTATAATATTAGTAGGGATGATATTTAATTAATAAAAAAATACTGTTTAATCTAACTACAATATAAAAATATTGTGATGGACTTTGATTCACAAAACAATTACAATGAAAGCGCTGTGTTTGCAAAGTTTTTTATTACTGTGTTCGGTTCAAGACACGAGAGCGAGGGAGACAGGTAGCGGGTGACTCACGGGGCGGCCGTGATAACAAGTGAAGCGGTGTGATCTATTGAAATAATATAATAACAATAACCCGAGCACCAGCCACCAACAGAGACAAGGAAAAAATCCTCAATAACAAACAAGTATACATACATTACACATAAATCTTAGTATTAGAGTATTATATTAAATGTTAAGTGATATATACAAAGCGAAGGAGCGAGAACCCCGGCAGGTTCAGTATTAAATGCATTTAGATGATGACTCACACCGGCTAGGGAGGTGAGCTGCGCAAAACGACCAAAAGAATAATAGACGCGGCGGGGCGGGGGGCGAGGACCCAGGAGAACATGGCCGGATTATTCACTGGACTATTTTAATTTAAATTGAACACACACGTGTCCTTACAGCGCTAAAACTGAATGTGACGCAATCACTGACCATCACTCCGCACATGGCAACAGGATTACAGTTACACCAAATGTATACTCATGAGTCTAGAACGATCTGATATTAAATAAGTTACAAATAAAAGATATAACAAGAACTATTCTTTATGATTTTCGAGTTAAATTCCTATGTAAAGTTTATCTTTAGTCTATACTAGCAGTAGGATAATTTCAATAATGCACTGACCTTAAAAACATCATCGTTTTTGTTTTAACTTTAATGCCGGCACGTAATTTTAACTTCTAACTATTCGAAGACTTGCGATAAACAATCTCCAATGATCACTGTACACCGTTTTACCTACGAATGTTTTAATTCTTTACACATATTGGTATTGTTAACGGCTCTGTACAAACTTGTCGGAACATGTCTCAATCATCCCGAGACCTGCTCCCTACTCTGATACCTGTCATCCGTTTAAAAAAATAACATACCAGGAGCCTGAATTAGATAACAATGGACTAATTTTATTGTATTCTCAGTAATAAAGTATTAATATTTAAGTAATAAGTATTGGAAACGTAGGTGTTATGATTTTAACCGTGGATCTCATCATACACTACAAATAATATATTAGCATATGACCTCGAATTTACTTCACATAAAAACGAAAATAAAATCACGGGAGGCCAGATATATAGCTATGATGAATGCGTACATAGAACACAATTGACAACTACAAATATTTCGGAAGCCTATATAAAAAATCGCATATTTAAATTCCCTATTAAAATAAAATTTATAATAAAATATGTTTTAGTATTATCTTTCCTTCTTCTACCTGGCAATTTCCCAGCTACAGCCAGGGTCTGCCTTACATGTTGTGAATAGTTTTTGGCTAATTGTTTTTACGACCGGCCGCCTGCCTGACATCAACCCTCTTTTGGGAATCAACATTAATCAGTGATGTCTAAATACTATTAAAGTAAATATGATTCGAAAAAATCACATTGGTACTTGCCCGGGTCAGGATCGAACCCGCGCCCTCGGCGACGAGAGGCGGGCCCTTTAGCCACTGAGCCACCACTGACTTGTTTTAGTATTATCTTTATTCGTTTATAGGTAAATACTATATTTCGTAAGTAGGTATATAATAATAATTATTATTTTCTTCATTATTTACAGTGTGACGTATGAATGGTGTGACATGGCGCGCAACAGATAAGATGCAACGTTATAGTGTAAGTGCAGTGCAAGGATGCATAATACCTATCATAGTTAAAATAACATACATATTATGAACAATTATAATTGTGGCTATAAATGGTTTGGTTCATTATTATTACACCCGGGTGTGAGAGCGCGCCGCCCGGGGGAAGGGGGGTCCGGGGGGCGAGGGTTGACCTGTTTGTGACACATCAACAATCTGAGCAGGTTAAACGGACTACGGTTGGCGGCATTATATTTGCACATATTATTTAATGTACCGATGGCACCTATGGGCTATGTATAAGTTAAAATACGAAAATGACAATTTTTTCAGTAGATGCGTTTTAAATTTCATTTCAATTTATCTTTTACATGCGATAACTGATAAGTGATGCTTTTGAAACTTTGCATAGCAACTATGACATATATTTAGGTCATTTAAGCTTGATAAACTTTTTCTGTAAACCAACTAATTTTTCAAATAATGTATATATAAGCCTTTTTACGTTAAAAAGTGTGTTACCTATGCCATTTTACTGCAATAATAACTAAGTTTTTCCACCAACAAATACGCATTTTTTAAATAGAATTTGTGGATTGCAGTATTATGAAGTGTTAAAAGCAAAAAAATGTAAATGGCTAAATTGCTACATTGGTCCATAATTTGTTCTTGATGAAGTTCCTATTTTTATATTGTTTGAAATACAAATATTTTTCAGGATATGGCAGTGGTTGTTATAATCCAAGTAGCAACCCTGACAGTGCCAAGCACGGGCTAACACAGATTCGTGTGAGCGAGAGAGATATACTTATAGAAAAGTGTGACGAAATATTACATCATATTAATATGTGCTTTGATGTTTACAAAGCTTTGTATAAAATTTAGAACTTTAACTGAAAATAACTTATAAACAGTTCCATCTAAATGTTAACTCCTTTTAATTTATCTGTAGTTCGATGTGACTGTTTCATTCAGTGCATAAAGTTCATGAAGTTTCTGGAAAATTCTTTAGATAATACGGAGCACTTCAAATATTAATTTGAAGCTATGCAGTTAAAGATCCACTCGAGGTAGTGAATTTATTTAATCATTATTTAACAGCGGCGAAAATTAAACGGAGGTAATGTTTCTAATTATAGAATTATTCAGAAGGATTCATCACGATGGCATTAAAATTAAATCTTCGTTGATACATGATCAATTGAGATATATTATTAATATTTACGAAGTTATTTATTTGTATAGTTTCAAACATTATGTTAATTATCGTGAAACTTTAACGTGAACTTTGTCTTGAGTAAGGAATAAAAGAAAAGTTAACAAAATCTTTTTTTTTTCTTGTCCTAAAAAGAGGGTTCTCAAATGTAGTATGTTTATAAATAACTTCAACAATGATGATCTAATTGCATTACTGTTGTATTTTTTAATTTAAATTTTTGTTGAGATGTTATAAGGAAAGTAACATGAGAAAAAAGTCCAACATGTGTTTATTCTTTGTGTTTGACTTATGTTGTTTGATAGCTAAACACCCAAGATATTCAAAAAAGGTATTGGTGTGAATATTTGTCAATCAAAGATACATGTTTAGTTCATGGAAAAATTATCATCAAATTCATTGCAAACTTGACTTAAAGTGAAGTTCTGTAAGTTACTGTAACATTACAAATAAACATACACTTTAATAAAATGCAAATATATATGAAAAAAAATTATGCAAATCTTTCAAACCAGCATCACTTTTGCCACCAAAGATATTATAAGAAATATAGACTTTTCTTATAGATTTATAATTAAAACTTGATTAAAATATACAAGTAGCATTGAGTACATATTTTTAATACATTATCCCAGTATTGATAACACAAGGAAATGCATGAATGTGGAAGGTCAGTACATTAT